TATCAAACCACAAAGTCGATATAAAAATCCACCTAAGTGTGGTTGTATATCGCTTCACATCATATTGGGAACCGTTTAACATTTTTATACGTTTCTTTCCAGATCGGCCCACAATCATTCAATAGAATTTTTCATGGGTTACACTAACTGCGATTCAGTGTGCTCTTGAACACTTTTAGATAGGGTGCGCACAGAACGGCCATATACTTGGCCCCACAGGAACAGGTTACTGGTATATATATGCACCTAGATGTGGGATCTTGTACTTCAGACGTTTACAGACCAATGGACAGATGTAGAACGCCAAACTGGACATCACTACGAAGAATGATTTTAAAGTTGATGAAATTTTTCTTCTTAGGACATCACAAGCTAAGTCTCTTTTCAGATCAAAGTTCTTGTAAAGTCTTTTGGGGAGGGATGTTATTGTTTCACTTCTCTGAACTTTTAGTTTGATGTTCTTGTCAATGAATCTCAGTGGCTATTCATTTGGGATGAAAACTTCTCTCACAAAGCCTAATTCTGCTTCTACGGCGTCAGAGCTACAGATGCGTTGGATGTGAGTGGCGAGGGATTTATCTAAATTTCTTATAGAAGTAGTTCCTCATCATAGACGCAACACTGACATACATTTTCTTTTGCATATGAAAATTCTATCAATCAAGTAGTAATTTTAATTAATCAGTTTCAGTTATAAGGAGGGGACTAAGAGGTTAAAAGTTATCAAAACTATTCACTAATAGATGTTAGTAACACGATATCTAAGTCTTCCAGGAGGGGTGAAAATTAATTCAGGAATTCAAGACAAGTTGGTTCTCAGGCGTTAGCAACAAGTTTTAACATAATCAACAAATTCGTACAATAATGATAACTAAGAGGAACAGCGTGACTCCGTAGAACTACGTGGAAGTTACTTAATTTACTCAGCCTCACCACCTACCTCCTTTACCTGACACTGAATAACTAAAATAACCATTTGGTTGGCATAATCTTCATGTAGAAAAAACCATATATTAGTGTAGAGCCGTTGATGGGGAACTAACTGAAAAAGAATTTATTCCTTTAATCAATCTGTTGCTTTTTTTTCTAAATGCATAAATGGGAATCTATATATTCACATGCAAAACAGACAGTTCCTGTAAGTCGTACAATGAGGAAAAGTGATTCATTGTCGAAATATGGCAGACTTTTGTCAGAAACGTTCATACCTTGAACTGCAAAGTGTCAAGAAGTGAATATATGCACAAATGTTTTCTTACAGAATTCGTGATATCCACCGATAGTTTTGCAGTTGAATGAAAAAATAAACCAGACATATCTAGAATTGAAGACAGTAAGCGACCGATTTTGTGTATCTTTGATAAACCCCAAAGTCTTGGTACTACTGAAACTCTTAGTTGGATATGATCACAAACTTTTCAGCTAATTAACTTATCGTCCTCTGTTTTTCTTAAGACTTCGGTAAACTGCTTCTCAATCAGTTCTGTTTAGTTGTTTATCGTTGGAATGTTGAGAAGATTTAATTTTGTCTGAGAGTACATACTTAAATAACTCTATACAGTCTTCCCTGTCAAAAAGAATTACACCAACACCTCTGTAAGGACAATTCATCATTATCGTTATCGTTTCCTTGAGTTCCAAGTGAAACATACGCCTTTAAAGGCACACCTACACTTTGTTCTATAGCCTGCGGTCATCCTCAGCTGGTTCGCCCCAAGATTGCCCATTGTCTTTCATCTCCTTCTCATTTGTTACCTGAGTTTCTTGTTGCTAACTGTTTCTCGCTCGCCGGCCATTTGATCTGCAATACGTAAGGAGACAGCGAAATGGAGATCTGTTCATAAAATCTCCAGTGGCCTGTCGAAAATGCTGTTCATGACGAGAAAAGATGTCTCGCAGTACTCCCTACTGGTTTCCTAATGGTTCTGTCGCCAATATTAACTCATGATGAAATCATTTTTTGGCATTTTATTATAAGTTGATAACTTAGTATTTAATGCTATGCATTTCATTTAGTCAAAATAAAAACCATTCAAGAATTATATCATTATTCTTCTAAAGTGCTAATAGAATAACGAGTGTTCTCATAATGCCATCTAGTTTTTTACTTCTATTTAAGTTATACTCATCACAGAAGATTTTAAATTTCAAAATCTAGGAGTTTCCACCACTTACTAGTTGCTTGCTGCTTTACTAATTATGGAAACCAGTGTGAGGCTATCTCAGTGTTAATTATTCCACTGTGTAATACCAACTACTGACAACTCTCCTTTTGAATATCTTCATAATTTGAAGTTGTTTGTTTCCCGTGTGAAAATTCCCTAGAGTATAACTAGTTCTTTACAGTAGCGGAGTCTACAGTGAATACGAAATTTAACGAACTTATGGTCCTCACTTCCTAAGAAGTTACAGTCAGCACGAAATACATCAAATTAATGACCGTAAAAACGGCTGTTTAAAATGACATCCCAAATGTACTACATACGACGAAGTAGATTCTTCAGCTTCACCACCAACACTAACGTGCGTCTTTTTGGTCCCAGCTTCATGGCACGGAACTACCACATTGACACCTGCCCATGAGTCGAACTCCGCTACCAACAATCGTCCAAATAATACCTTCCAGGTCCCTTTATCACCTGACCTCTCAGATGCATCCCCAACATCTCCTAATGTCTCCTTATTCGAAAGCAAAGAGTCATGGGATCTTCATTGTCTGGAGACAGGGACGCTAAATGTAATACTAGAAGACAAGTGACTTGGTAACAGAATATTTATTTACAACCAGATATACACATATGGGTAAATTATGTATACCTTATATTAAAATCACCATTTGCACAGATCTTCCGTGTTGTGAGTTACTTCTACCCTTCATATTGCCTTTCTTCTTTTCGTGTATCCCATGTTTTGCCGTAATGCACTGGTTGGTTCATTTCCTCCCTTTTTGATGTTAAATCTATTTGATATCACTTCTGTGCCGGTGAACATCCCTTTATATACTACCGATAAGTCTTGTCAGCAACACATGCCACACTAGCATACCTGTAGTCATCACTTTTGACATATACATATATATAAACTTAAAGTACTTGTACGAGATTCGACCTTAGTAAGGACACAATTAAGGCATTAGGATGGGTGAGTATAATGTAAAAGCCACAAATCAATGCAATAAATATTCAGTGACTTCAAATTTTACGACTAGTGAAAGGACCATTGAATTTCGCACTGATACTCAGGTACACTTGATGATATTTTAGGAAGTTTGTCTGTTACATATAAGCAAGCACTTTTAGCAGATGGAATTTCCTACTGGAGGTGATTGTCAGCATGAAGAACATATGCCCCTTATATAGAATTCGTACATGTCTGTAAATATGTAGTCCCAAATGCCTGAGCCACACGTGGGAATTTCAAAAGGACATAGTGGAAAAAACCTTTCCAGTTTGGTCAGTGGAAGTTTACTAGACATTAGCTAGTAACTAGTGCAATATATTCCTTGTTTACTGCAGACTAAATTCTGATGTTAGTCAAGTTTGAAATCTGTCCACCATGCTAAGTGAATGCCATTACGATGCACTGCACTGTGAGTTGTTGATATTAAGTGGTTGGAGGTGATCGACCACAGAAAGTCGTGCTCCACCTCGCTTCTGTCCTAGTTTCCACTCACCAGTTATCCAGGCGTATCTGAAACCTTGGGGGAAGGAACCCATATCTTCTCTGGAACTCGAACCCCCTACCTCACCCAGTGACTGTTGCAATCAAAGAAGTTACCACACTGAGCTATCCGGACTGTATTGGATATTTTGTTTGGACACTAGCTAGCAATAGTAACTGGCGTAATGTGTCTAGTCCTTTTCTGGTGTATATTAATTTGCATCAGTCAAGTTTGGAAGTTGAACTATTTTTGAAATTTTCTGTGATCATTCGATATGATAGTCAGCTTCTCTATGTATTCTTTCTTATTCACAATTACTACTTCACAACTTTTATCCTGTCTAGTAATTAATAAATTCGCATATTTCTGCACAGTTCAAGAACATCAACAGAAGTCAACAAATGACTGTATACTTATTTTCGCCCAACCTTGATATGAAAATTGTATTTTCTATCTAGCTGCGTACTAGATGCTTTGAAGGCATCACTCAGTCTTATGCTGTTTGTAATCTAAATTCAACTCAATTTAAGCCATCTATAAAGAGTCAGACACAATTCGCGAAAACCTTAGTGGATGCATCAAAATACTTCATCTTGCATCGATTTGATCACAAATTTTAATTGTGTGAAGGCTTCCCATAATGATTAAAATTAGCGCTGAACTCTAATGCAGGCAGGCTTTGCTTAACTAGGCTTAAGGTTACATTTCAGAGGTTCATTAAGAACCTCCAATGTGAGACCAAGTGCTCAGTGTAGTCAGTCGGGTATGCCCGATGCTGGTGTATTTGTCAGAAAACTAAACAGGAGGATGTAAACATTCTGTGAATTGTTTCGTTGAGACTAATGATGATAAATCTTCCGAATAGAGAGATTCTGCTCTCAGTTCTTGTGTTTATGAACACTCGTTAACAAGACATACCAGCATGTTCACATAGCTTTAGAAACGTTGATATTCAACATCGAAAGCCTATTTAAAATATCTCTAGTTTACTGTGGAAAAGACGTGTATATAAGGGAGAAATAATTATCTTCGATTAAATCTTAAATAAAAGCAATACAGAATAAAAACAAAATTCACACCAATCTAAGAAAAATTATTGGCGATATTTCGTATCGTGTTGGCTCCATTTGTGTGTGTTTTTTGCACAACCGTGAAGATGTTGGAAATAGTCATAAGATACGGCATCTATAGAAGCACCATCATCGTGTTTTATGTTAGATAGGATACAACAACATAAGAATCATTCAAACAGAATGCATGCAGGCAGTAAGTAAGTGAAATTGATTTGTGCAAGGGATTAGTGGAACTGTCATCATTTATTTCCGTCTTTATTATCCAGTTAATTATCAATTGAAACATTGCTTATTATTTCCTTAATCCATGACTGTAAAATGTCTGCACTTTTCTTTGCAATAGCTATAACCTCCTCATGATTGGCTATTGCCTTACTCTCCACATCGAGAATGCACACATTTGTAACCAATGAAACAGCGAAGACAGTCATTCCACAGTGACGTGCGATTAACACTTCTGGTACTGTACTCATGCCTACAACATATTTAGAAAATACACATTGAATTCTCAGTAAATAATGACAAAAGTCAAAATATGTGAGTGTTATTTCGACCGAATCATCATCTGTTTCAGAAATCGTTTGCTTCCATTCCCTAACTGACTGGCTATAATTGATTTGAGAATATATATTCGCTAGATGAACTGAGGTTCTCTTCCACCTTCAGTACTTCTGGTGACATTAAACAGTATCTTGTTATGAAATATGAATTTATACTCCAATGTATGACACTATCAAGAAGTCGATAAATTGCAATACTATGAAAGAAGTTGATAAAGAACTCTTTATTATCCTTTTTCATAAGCTTACTAAACAGTATTTTATAGTTTTGCGGGATTACCTTGTTGCTATAAATTCCAACTACAATATGATTACTTGGAATCAGGTCACTCCTTTTAATTGATGAGTTTCAAAGAGTTCGCGATGAAGTTTATTTATTTATTCAATTGTGCTATCTAATGGTTCAATACGTTATGAAATGCTAACATAATACTTTTGGAACCTGAATATTACCAAATTTTAGTTGTCAAGTCGAGCCTAAACACAAAACATTACTCGGGAATCAACTGTCTGCCCTACGTTGTATTTTAGTCAGCCAGTACTTCAATCTATTTGTCACTACGTTAGTTGATTTATATCTCCGCTCAAAAAACAAACGTTGGTAAGTCTGCCAAATTCTATTTTGAATTCGATCAACATAGTGCTAGAAATTGTATTTCGACACTCCCTAGAAAGATATGGAACATGGGAATCATTGCAATTTACTTAAATTTCACTTCAATCTAACTGATGCTTTCATTACTTGGGTACATTATGTTCAAAGAAGGTAGAGTAAGTTCTACCCCCAAAAACACACACAAAAGTCATTTTACAGAAAAGCAGGCGCCATAAAACAGAAACGTACGCATGAGTTTCTAACCTAAATTTGCATGATAAGGAGAATAAAGTGATTAGAAACACAGATTTGTTATTGAGACCGGAAGTAGAATCTTAGTGGGAAGAATAGTATGTTAAAGAGTTTAGGCTATCTAAGAAACATACGAACAATCTCACACCAGTGTAATTAAATTGTATTTATATCAACTGGCTTTCAAATCTCTTGAAAATTACCATCTAATACACTCCATATGTGCAGATTACTTTTCCGTACAAAGCTTAGTATACCAACTAACCATTTTTAACATCATGAGTCCTAAGAAGTTATCCTCAATCTTTTCTGCCTCAGGAGCAGATCAACCAGCTGTAATCAGCATTTTAGGAGAAATTCGTCTGTGCATACCATACTTCTGACTTACCAGCCACGTCTGCACCCATCGCGAGCAACATTTTGCATTCAGCAGGGGATTCATATGTTGGGCCACCAGTAAAAGCATATACACCTTCATGAACCAAATGACGAATATTCATTTTCTCAGCTAATTGAATGGCCAATTTACGAATTTCGGAGCTGTATGCATTTGAGGTTGCTAAGAATCTGGGTCCAAACCTATTTAATATAAATTTAAAAATTAATTGCAACAAACTTCTCCTCATTTGATCCCATCAGCACATTATTCAGAGCCAGACCGGGTAGGCTTATGTGGTCTTTTATCACCATGAAATCGCCGCATTTGAAACCTCTGTTCAGACCACCACATGCATTACTTACTATAAGCACTTTGACTCCTAAAAATTTCAATACCCGAATAGGAAGAGCGATCTTCGGTGGAAGGTGAGTAATATACATCACATCTTACTTGTTCTTTAGAGTAACCCTCATACATGTGGAACCTGCCCTGCATGGCAACCACTTTACGCTTTCCAAGTTTACCGAAAACTAGATTGCCCGCATGTCCGACCACTGAAATGAATGAAAAAGCTTCGTTTACGCCTCACCGCTTGTCCGAGGGAAATTCGGTATATCTTCATATCGAATGACAGTTTTATCTTCTATTCCATCAGCCAAATTACCAAGCCCACTTCCACAGATTATTCCTATCTCTGGCACTATTCGTATTTGCTTCTTGATGTGGTCTGCTACTTTGCTGGCATTTTCATAACTTGCAGTAATTGGTTCTGACCTAGAATTTGATTTTATCGAAACTGAGGGGACCTACATAGCAGAGGAACCTGTGAGGAACTGAACACGAGAAAAGTGACTCATAATCAGAGAGAATCATACTTTTTAAATTAATTAGAGAACATTCAAAAATGCAAAAGGGGCTATCTTAGCTTTCTGAACAGGTACTTAACAGTCTGTAATTAAGAGAAAGTAAGTCTTTAGTCACTACAGTCACGAGGCACTTGGTTGGCTCAGACCATAAAGCGGACACAATAAATGACACGAAATGTTTTCAACCGCTAAACTTAGTATGTGCACACCAAATCATTTTTCCATAACTAATCAGGAGTCGCTTATCAATCGATACTGGTATCACTACGAACGACGCCCAGCACGTAAACTACACTATTTACGAAACATCATGTACTAAATACACTCAATACCTCAATATAATTACATATACATGTGCGTCTCTTGGCAACACACTCAGACTAATAATTACTTGGATTTGAGGCGAGTTTCTGTTTTTTGTGAAGTTGATGCTGATTAAAATCCACTTTGACAGCAAATATTAGTAAACTTGAGGCTCTCTATATTTAAAGTCACAATTATCATATTCATGGTGCAAACATTAATCTGATTTCTGGCCAAATATCCCTCATTACGGAAATTGAGTGTATGTACCCAGATACTTAAAAATCTACATTGGAAAACATACCGGTTGCAGCAGTTAGCGGTAACACCTAATTCTTTTCAATAGGAACAGTCAATGACCTCAACAACTCTGTTCACATCCAATATCCAATATCGTTTTTACGAGCTAGTATAAACCAATTTGATTTCTTTGTGCTCGCTTCTTGATTGTAAGGTATAGGTTCCTGATCTTCGGTAAACTTCTGCGTAGCTTGTTCCGCCACTCGACTGTCGTAGCTTTGGTTGACTCCAAAGGGAGTAGTGCTGGGATTAATTATATGTGGTTTGTAGTATGAGGTATGTTAAGACTGTTACTACTGTGATTGGAGTTGATCCTTTCGCCAGTTAGTCCTTCGGTATCGTCGACAAGAGAAAAGAGATAGTAATAATAATAATAGTAATAATAATAATAGATATAATTAGTGAAGTTATTCAGACTAAGAGACAGAAACGGAAATAGGAAACGTAACAACAGTCAGCTCATTAAGTTTGAAGAATAATATATATATCGGTAGTAATAATAATAATAATAGTAATTATAATATTAATAAGTTGTCAGGAGAGTAAGACGGGAGAGAATGTAAAGAAGTAAAACGACGAGTTTAATTGTCTACCCCTGAATGGTGTATGCGATTTTAAGGAGATAGGCCATTTGGATGCAGTCCTTGTATCGCTGCATGGTTGTCCAGCCTTCGCTTAAAGGCGTCCAAAGACGGTGCCATAGCTACATCTGCCGGCAAGGAATTCCAGGGACGGCAAACCCGCAGTGAAAAGAAGTGGGAGCGCACCCGGGTCCTTGCCCTCTGGTGAGCTATCCTTCTGGGATTTCCACGTGGGAGCCTATACCTACTCAATGGCAGAACACCTTTGTTTGGGTGATTCTGGTCATTTGTTATTTTGTAGGCAGTAATCAAATCCCCCCTAAGCCGACGGTAGCTAAGTGTGAACAGGCCTAATTTCTTCAGCCTTTCATCATATGGTTTGTTTCGGAGACCAACCACTCCTTTTGTTGCCCGTCGTTGGACTCTTTCCAAGAGGTTGGCGTCTCTTCTCAGCATTGGGGGTGCAATAATATTATGCACCTCAAGGTGTGGCCTGACGTATGTTTTGTACAACATTAGAAAGAGCTCAGGAGTGAGTGCACCTAACTGTCTATGCGTAAAGTGTATGACCGCATATGCCCTCGCTACATCCCCTGTGTAATTTACGCTTGTGTCCATTTTTTCCGTTAGAACTAGACCTAAGTCGCGTTCCGACGTTGTGCAGGACAAGCTTTCATTGCACAGGGTGTAACTTGCATTCTGCAGTCTACAGGTGCGCAACTTCACTACTTTGCACTTTTTCAAGTTGAAAGTCATGCCACTGGCCACCGCCCAGTCTTCCAGAAGGTTTAGGTCTTCCTGTAGCCTATCTGAGTCCTCCGGACACTTTATCGCCCTCCATATTTTTACGTCGTCAGCGTACAGGAGAGTCGGGCAGCTCAGACGGCGTGGTAGATCATTGATGAAAATCAAAAACATCAGTGGTCCTAGGATAGAACCCTGCGACACTCCTGATGACGATCTGTGCCAAGATGATCGGACTCGGTTAACCTTAGTGCAAAATTGCCTGTCGGCTAGGTAGTCCTTCAACCATGACAGAAGTGGCTCACCTATGCCTGCCTGGCTTATTTTATGTAGGAGAAGGTCATGGTGAACAGTGTCAAATGCCTTCTCAAAGTCTAGGAAGACCACATGGACTGGTACGTTCAAGTCCCAGCATGATGTCCAGTCGTCCCAAGCTGACAGTAGGTTAGTGACGCAGGATCTGCCTTTTCTGAAACCATGTTGGGCTTCATGTAGTATATTAGTCCTATCGAAATATTCCCTGATGTGGTCGTCAATAATACTTTCCAGTACTTTTGATACCACTGGGAGTAGAGCTACTGGTCTATAGCTAGCAGCGTTTTGCCTGTCCCCACCCTTGAAGATTGGAGAAAGGATGGCTCTTTTCCACTCCCTTGGCAGGGTCCCCGAATCCATTGAGTGTTGGAACAAGTCGCACAGGGGTCTACAGAGAGCCTCGGCGCACTGTTTCAGAACAGATGGCCTGATGTCATCACAACCTGGGGACTTCCCAGGTATGAGTCGCTGTAGCTTCCTTAGTACTATTGCGGGGTTTATTTGGGGAGTAGTCGCTAGGTCTTCCTCCTCTGAAATAGTGGTGCCACCATTTTGGTCCGTAACTGTAATATCCACATTGCTGTTTAGCTGTTTAGCGAAGGCTGAACTGAATGTTTCAGCCATCTCCAGACTAGTGAGATATTGACCGTTTGGGCCTACTAAGGCGCATGCCCCTTGGTTTGTCGGTTTTCTTTCCGACATGAATCGGTACAAGTTTTTAGGGTTTGATAGGAGTTTTTTAGCAAGGTTAGCCTGGAATGACCTTCTGTCCCTCCTGACTCTTGCATTACACCGGTTCCTGAGTTCGAGGTATGCATCATGGTCGGTCTGACTCTTAGATACACGCCACGTAAACCAAGCCTTCCGCTTTGCTTGCAGAATACGTTGCGTGCCTCTCTTCAACCATGACGTCTTTCTCTTAGGCTGTGTTGTGACTAAAGGGACGGTATCCGAGATTGCTGTATGGATAATCTTTTTTACCACTTCCCAGTGTTCATCCACAGATAGGTCGTCCCATGCTAAGGGCCAGTCTGCGTCGGACAAGAGCCTCCGCATTTCAGCATAGTCAGCCTTGCTGTAGCACAGACATGGTCGCGTAACATCCCATTGCAAACGCTCACGGAGGACAAGATCGAAACCTATGACTGCATGGTCACTGCTTCCCAGAGGAGTCATGATCTGGACCTTTTCGACGAGTAGCTGGTCACTAGTTAGAATATAATCTAGTTTTGATGACTTTCCACTAGGGCCCCACCTAGTGTCGTCTCCAACATTCTCAGTCAGTCCCGTGTTTCGAATAGTTTGCAGTAGGTTTCGGCCAAATTTTCCCTTAGCACACCCGGAGCCGAGGTTCAGTGATGGAGCATTGAAATCTCCAGCTATGGTGATTTGGTCGTAGCCCAAATCTCGTATTCCTGTGATAGTGCTGAGCAGTAGCTGATTGTGCTCTGCCCCACAGGTGGGAGATCGGTAGATGCCACCCAGTAAGTGCTTGGTGTGGCCTACGGTGAAATGACACCATATGGAGTCTGGGAGTTCGATAAGTGGTGGGTCCGTTGCGCGCACACATTTAAGTTGCCTATCAAAGTATATAGCAACTCCCCCTCCTTCCTTATTATCCCTGTCTCTCCTGACCAGTACCATATCACCTATACTGATTTCATTGTCGGCGATAGTGGGGTTTAGCCACGTTTCAGTAAGAATGATTATTTTCAGTTGAAGGTGTGCTTGGAGATTTCGGAGTTCACCTACTTTCCCTCTCAGCCCCCTCACATTGCTATATAGGCAACTGACAGTGAGTCTAACAACCTCAGAGTGTTGTGGGGTAGTTGACGTGAAACCGTCTGCTGGTGGGGGACTTGATGTTGGAACTAGTTGGCCGATTCCGATAGAACCGGCCCGTTGTAGTTTTTTTCAATGGATTTAGGCAGGACACTTGGGAGACACAGACTATTATTCTCAGAGCTGCATCGCTCTAGTGTCACCGAAGCTTGGGGTCGTATTAAAGCCTCAGTTTGCTGCCTCCTTATATTTCTGGGTCTGCTTTCACAGCATCGGATGTGTCCTCCAATTTTTCCCTTGGTCTCATACCACCGTTGAAGTGATATGGACAACTGCTCCGGGGAGTTGAATGTGACACACAGCAGCTTTGGAGAGTTAATCAATGTTAGATGAGCGGGACGAGGTAGTCGGAAAATGGAGATGGCTCCAGAAGCGCCAGGGGCCATCTGAGATGACAGCCATCTCCATTGTTGTACGTCGTGCATGTGTTTTTCACAAGCAGTGCCGGTTTCCAGCTCCGGAACACCGTGTACCACCATAGAGGTGGAAGGCATCAGTTCCGGTGACTCCCTCGCCATATTTCTGAAGCCCATGGTCTATCTTGCCGCGCTCTTATGTTAGAACTTCTGTCCAGGGCTAGTACCTGAGCCATTAACAGTACTT